TTTTCAATTATCATAAGAGTATAAAAATTGTATCTCTGTTCTATTCAATGCTGATCTAGGAAATTTGACACCTAGGGGCTAATAAAAATGCATTGACCATAAGTAGATGGAAGTACTGTGTAATTCACAGATTAGGTTAGTGTAGGAACAGTTATGTATGTATATATGTATGTATGTTCATGATTTATTTTATTTTTCATAAATCTAAAAGCGCCCTGACAGATATCAACAGCGACTGCGGCAAGCATACTCTCCGCTAGATTTAGCACTGGTTATAATTATACGAAAATACGATAAAATTATATATATATATATATATATATATATAGTTTAGAATTTGAGTAGGTACCTATGATGTTATATAAATATAATTTGTATATAGTACAAAAGGCTTCAGATTTTACCTAAATTAAAGTTTTATGAGTGTTTATATTATCTAATGTTTGTATTATAGGTATATTCTTAATTTTTAACACCCAATAGAAATTCGACTTTTCTAGTATTTCGAAAAAATTAAATGCATCAGATTTTACTATTTATTATCTAACAATCTAAATGTATTTTGTTTAAATGGTATTTTAATGATAATTTACAGCGATGTACGTGACGTGATAAACAGAGTATAATATAGGATTATCACCTATATTAAATCGCAAACACACATGTAAAGTATAACACTTATGTACTATATACATTATTATGTCACTAGGGACCATAATACCCATAAAAGCTGAACGCATCTCTAACTGACTCAAGGTCGACTACAATTTCAATATTTTAATGTATATATGTTTATTTATATTTGCAGTTTTATGAATAATTTTGCAACATAGAAATGAATGGAAAGTATAATATATATATATATACTGTACATGTATGTGTGTATAATATTAAGTATTTGCGTTTTCGAATAACATGATTATAGGATGGATCAATCGGAGTCGCGTAAAACTACACGAGTGGCATATATTATTAATTCTGAATATAAAGTGATTTTTTTTCTAGGCTTGAACGTATCTTCGTCATTATTGTTTTTACGATTTTAAAAAAGAAATGCGATAAAGAATACGTTCATTTTCGGAAGAAGAAAAAATAACGTGAAAACAATCGAAAAGCAATCAAAAACGGTTTATTTTCGAGGAATGTCGATTGTGTCGTACATAACGTACCCATATACGTGTGTGTGTGTATATATTCGTATACATATACACATAGTGGTGTGCGTAAACGAGTAGAAAAACATAACGGGTGGCGGCGCGGTGCATAGCCTCGGGGTGCACAAGGCAATACACACACGCACACACGCACACACGCACACACACGCACACACACACACACACACACACACGCGGGCGCGCGCGCATACACACATACACATGCTCATAAGCTCGCTCGCTGCGACGCCTCGGGCTGTAACTATGGCGACTGCGGCAACTCAATATACATTCGAATCAATTGATGGCCCCGGGACGCGCGGATGGTCTCCATCTCGGCGGCGCTGGGCCGAGGAGGTTCGATGCCCGTCGGGCTTATTGTCCTATGAATACTTTACGGTGTGAGGTGGCGGCAGTGGGCAATATGGGGCACGGGGTGGTGGTGGTGGCGGCAGCGGCCTCCCCGGGGGGGCGAGATCCGGCAGGTCGATGTCGCCGTCCCCGTCTATGTGGCCCCGGGCGTTCGACGCGGACTTACAAATTAACATTGCCGCGGGCCGTCTCCGGATCTACCACCCGCCCGCCCACCACATAGCCGCGACCGCGCGCTGTTTCAACGGAAGAGAGCCGCCTCGGGCCACAAAGATATATTACCACGACGACCTTTATACACAACACTCTTTATACACATACACGCGCACACATTTATACACACACCACACACTCACGCGCGTACACATACCCGAATGTATATTATATGCATATACCGTGTGTGTGTGTGTGTGTACTGTGTACCATACTTTTGTGAACGCAGTTCCCTCGACGCACCGTGCAGCTGCAGCGCTCATATATACGTATACACGTCTTATCACTGAATGTTAAAAACACCTTCGAAACTTTTAACACTTCTCTTCTTTACCCCTTCATTGTCTTGCGCTTCTCTTTCAACCCTCTCATAGTTTATTAAACTTTGCCGATATAGTATATTATGATATATGTACGTTTACATACGATAAGCGTATACATATATGTATGTATTAAAATACACATACAAACGTAATACTATACATACCTTTGTGGCTTAGTTCTTATATACGTCTATATAGATGTACATGAAACTATATAATGATTCAGTGGAGGACTTCGCAATCACGTTTATGGCTATAGTCGTGCATATATATATATATATATATATGTACGCCGCGAGAAGGGCGCAAGGGGGTGCACTTGCAATCCTCTGGGTTTAAAAACAAAAAAATTATACAATATAAAAATGTAGGATAGAGGATATCATTATTATTATTGAATTCTATACTAGAATATTATTCTGCATTACTTTATAATCGTCGAAAAAAAACGAAAATAATTGAAGCATTATTCAGATATCAGCGTTTATACTATGAATAATGCACTCCCTGACATCATTTCTGGCGGTCCCTATGTATAATATACATTGTGTATATATATATGTGTGTGTGTGTGTGTATAATATTTCAATGGGAACTTGAAAATGAAATTTTTGTGTATACGCAATATGTATGAATCTTTTTCGTGTTCAACAACAAATATGTTCAATATGCATACAGATCGCAGTGCTGTAGTGATACGCGGAACGTAAAAGTTTAGGAATGCGTTCAGCATAGCTCTCAGCACTCATTCGTCTTATATGTCTTCCTCCGTACTGGGAATTCTAGCCCTCTAAGCCAGTACTGTTAAAATCGGGGCTGGATCGAGGGGCAAGAGTCTATAGTCCCAAGACGCAAATTGGAAGGGACCAAAATGTGTTTTTTTAATCGTTGGCTAACAAATATAAAATATTGTTTAATCAATTAATTGTGATCATACTACAATATACAAATATACTATACTTAATTTAATTAATATTTATTACAAATTACCAAATATAAATAAGAAAATGAAATTCTTTTAGATAAAAGGGCCTCATCAAAAGTAATAGCCCATTTTAAATTATAATTATAATCTAGCTCAGGTTATAACCATCAAATGTCATAAAATGTTGTTTTCCAGCGCTAATGTTTGCTTAGGTATAAATAATATTTTGTATGAATAAATATTTAGGTGTAATAGAAGCGGCAATATACCTAAAAGGCCCGGAATAAGCAAAAAAAAAAAAAAAAAATGAACAAATATTTTCAAACTTGTTTAAAATTGCTTGAAAATATTTGTTCATTTGTTCATTTCATTTTACATATATGTATTTAATGGAAATAGCAGCAGTTATTGTTTTAAAATTGAAAACCTAATAATATATCTAAAACTAGATATGTCTCAAAAAAGCTGTCTAGGACGTTCAGTTCTTCTAAAATCATTTACTCGAGTTTAACGATTTGTTATTTTTATTTTTTATTGCGTAAATTTAAGAAATATATTTTACTTCGTAAAATTTACTATGCACATGCAACACTGAGATCGATAATGCGGCCACTATATATTGACGAGTATATTTTATATTAATCATACATATAGAAGCACGTGTATAATTCGACTTTGTAAAAAGACCACGCGTAATGTATGTGTTGTATGAGTTATACATTTTAAATCAAAACATCACCGAAAAAGTAATAATTAAGCCTTCTACGCAAGAACACGACTGACGCGACTACCTATGTTTCTCTGTACGATCCGATCGAGAATAAATATTATACATGCTGCACATATTTATATTTAATTTATAATATTCTTGTTGACAACATTGTATATATTATAACTGCTGTACCTATGCATTATAATTATGTATATGTATATTTTCATATATTTTCGGTGTTAATCGGTTAATGCGCGTATTGTTTGTGTTCTCGATGTTTGGAACAGATACGGGCCATGATTTAATGAGTATAAATCATTCGATAAGTCGTCGATGAAAAAAAAATGTGTATCGTGGAAAATTAAAGAACAAATTATAACAAAGTGGGCGTGAAACAGCTGCACTTTGCCTGGAGGAGTTTAGATCTTCACCGCACAACCACACTGATTTTGTGAGAATTATGAACACGCGTCACACAGCTATAGTGAACGGAGTATAGCTTATAATATAGCCTATATTATTTTCCAACCAGGTCTGCTGTCAAAACTGTACTGTTATCAAATGACATAGGTATCAAGTTTGGATGCAACCAAATAACAAACTGCACAATAATAGTGATTGAATCATATGATGATGAAAATAATATTAATATGTATATTCAATATTATTTAAAGGAATAACATTATATACGTATATTTAGTTCATTTCAGTAGCGTTGTGAACTACTTTTTGACCTATACTTATTAATATATTAATATTACTTTTTAACCGAGTTGTCGTATAGCATTGTCATACATTACGAGGTTTACACCTATGCTTTACCTAGATACCTATAATCACAGACGTCTATACCTACTCACGCACCCACCTTATATCCAATAGGGGCCGAGGCCCCTGGAAAATCCCCTCACCACGCCACTGGCTTGTTTATATCATTACTGTCGACAAGAGTAGTAAAAATACTTACACTATAGTCGTATTGCGTAATCGTTGAAATTGGCTAAGTATTCAAGTACAGATTAATCACACATGGTATTCGTATCAAGTGTGTATGGTGACATTTTTTTATTAGCTTTCAATATTTAAATAACTTTATTAATAGCTCAACATGTGGAACCCTTTATTAGTTGACGTTCACTGCGAGACTAAGGAAGATGTCCACAATTGGGAGAAATAAATTACTAATCCATAGAGTATTATTAAAATATAAAATTTTATTAAATTTGAATACAAAAAAAAAAATGAGTAACATAACAATAAATAATACTATCTACATAATGCACAATAACAATATAATATATAATATATTTATAGTGTCGTATATTTGAACATTGTATGTGCATACTATTAATAATTTTTATTATATTAAAAGAAAACTACGATTGTTCTACACATAGCTTTTATATTTTTGTAACTGCGTAGATGCCGTTCATTAGTTCGGAATGGTATAAACGATAAGTGTAAATTGCCGTTTACATTCGGTTATATTCGCTCTAAAGTGAACGTTTCTATGTTTTACGAGTCTGAGAACAACATATTCAATGTCTTGCAGTTATAAACAAAGTATATAAATTATAAGAACCACAATGTCTAACTACCTACATGTATATTCATGCCGTGACATTTCAAAGTGTCAGTATAATATTTGCATCAACTAGTCATACATAAATATTCGTTGATAGGACTTGGGAGATGTCTATAATTCAACTGGTGCCCAAGATGCATGCAAGAGATCTACGCATACTTACATTATTTATAATCTCGTGTGAAGTAATTGGTCTTGCAATTTATTTCCTGTACATTTATTTTTCGATCAATGAACCTGCGCAAAAATATTAGTTATAAAAAGGAAACTAGAAGATAGAAAACCGAAAACAGATTGTATACTTTAGACAAGTATTTTTATACTAAAGACTGCGTAAACTCATATAATCCGTGTTAACAATGTATTCTTAATATACGATATCTTTAACATGGAAAAAAAAATGTATATATATACTATAATATAACTATAATATAAACCATTACGGGCGCTTTGAAAATTGCTGTTAATATAATACTGCTTCTGGCTGCCGAGTGACCTTACTATGGCTCGGAGGGTTTTTGTAAATTACTTCAGGCACAAAGAAAGAAGTACACGAAAAAAATAGTTAAATTTGCTGTATTATAGCTATATTACAGCTACATACACCCTATTCACAATATAACTATTAAATAGATGTTAAAATTAATTTTTAGGATTATTTGTGACTTTTCGTTTTTTAAAATATTATAAAATCTAATAAAAATACTAGGAGTAATTAAAACAATAAAAACATATATTCAAATGACTGCAGTAATTACAAGTAAAAATTGTATACTTAAAAAGAACGAAACTAGGAAAGCTGGTAGGTGTTATTTAGATGCAATAATAAATCATTAGATACTATAGATAGAGGTATTAATTGCATCGTAAATCTAATCTACCACTATAAATGTGTAAAAAATGATGATTTAGATTCTGTACAAAGCGAAGGAAATATTGCACAACAACTAAAAAGTATGTAATATATTAGTTAAAACCTTTTTTCGGTAGATGTGGTTTTCTATTATAAATGGTGTATTAGTAAAGTGACCATACATTTTTTTAATCAAAACGGGACAAAAAAAAAAATCATAATTATTTGTTACAAACAAATATTTTTAATTTAATAATATTATTAGCAAATTTCTGTGGTACTTATGTTTTTAAAGGACAAACAAATTAAATTAACTTATTAAACTTACTACCTAACTTATTGTAAATAAAATGTTTTCGTGTAATAATTACAAAATTAAATACTTGTATATTTTTCGTTTGAACAAATTTGTTTTAATAAATCTGGCGATGACTTCAGGAACGAGTAAAATTCTGTACAAGACATTTTAAAGTTCACTTTTGTTAGCAACATTGCTTTTAAACTTGATACTTGAAGCTGTGTTTTTTCGGCCGTCCATAAATTGTTCATTAATGAAAAAATTCGTTCGACTGGTGCATTCGTAGCAGGCAAGCAAAGAACATACTCAACAATTTTTCGAAAAATGGTGTGGTTTAAATTGTTGTCTCGGAAGTACTGAAACACTTGTACCCAACGATGCTCTGCATATTTATTCGAAGAATCTGAATTCCACTCTTCCACTTTTTTATCTGATACATACGATGAAACAAGTGTAAATTCATCAAATGCCTCAGTGTCCTGCTCAGAACCGATTAAACCTTTTTCAATTAGCACATCCATTGACTTCTGTACTTCTTCCCACGTTAGGACTTTCCTCAAATCGACCCATTGAAATATCTGCAATTCAGACTGATTGTACGAAGTCCACTGCTGAAGATATTCAGTAGTTGTTTTATAGAAATCCGAAGCAATTGATTTCACGTAGTTTTCTTGAACCTCTCCTTTTTTTTGCAAGTCAGAGAGTAATCGACGGACAGAATAAGGTAGAAATATAGAACTTAGTTTTTCTTCTAAATTTGCTCGTAACTCATTGATTACTTTGGCAGCTTCAATCGCTGAAATATTCTGACCTTCACTCCTTAATACTGCTGTATGAAAAGTCACCGACTGACTGTGTACGAAAAAAAGCCACAACTCGGAGGTAGGACACTCAAAGAAATTTTTTAAAACTGTTGGACACTTTTTTATACTTAAGAAATACTTTTTCAGTGGTACATATAACTGCAAAACTCTTTCGATGGCCGGCATTAATGCGAACCATCTGGTCTTACTAAAGCCCAGCAATTTCTGGTACTCAGTTCCAGCTGCCTCGCAAAATTGTTTTAAGGCTTCCTCTCGCACCGTGTAAATGTAGAAAAACGAATAAATTTTAACAATTATACATTCTATATCAAATGGCAAGCAATCTGTAGCACATTTAATGGCGTTGTGAATCACGTGGGCGACACATACAATTCCTATTAATGATCTACCCGTAATTTGATTTAATTTGGCGTACACGTTCCTTTCTACTCTTTCCTACTCTTTCCTCTTCTTTCTGAACCGCCAAAGTTGCAATTCGTATTATCTCCGCAGAAAGCTACAATTTTGGTTAAAATATTATGCTCTCTCAGCACATCAGCAACGTAAGATACAATAGTTATCTGAGTTTTCGCCGGATAACTCTTTAAACTTCAAAATTTTGACTTGCACGCCTTCATATGGTAAAAAATATCGTACAAGAATAGGAAACATTTTTTGTGATCCATGATTTGATGCATCAGTTGAAATAGATACCCAAGTAGCAGCAGTGAGGTGCTTTTTCAAATCGGATATTGCTTTCGGCGCAAATACGTTTTTTATTATTGCCTCTGTTTTTGTACGCGCACATCTAAATTTCGAGTCAAAACACGATTGGATTAGTTTGGATGCACAATCGTTTGATCGAAAGCTGTGATTTCCTTGAACGGTATAATAAGCCCAAACTCCTTCTGCTGCTGCAATTTCAAGATCTTTAGAAGTTGGCATGTTAACATCTTTGAAATATCTCTGCAAAAAATGGCTTGCTGCTGCAGCACGGTCAGCATTTTTATGTTTTTCAGATCTTAAATGTTGTTCTACATCACTCCCATCCCCGTGTGATACAGAAAATTGTGTAGAACATTTTTCACACAGTACATCAGATGGGCAAATGCCTCTTAATTTTATAAATGGATATTTCTCTTGGAGAGTTTTATTAAATATACACTTACGTTTCGGCATCTTGAATATATAAATGCACAAGAACACAGCACAACTTATTTAATAGTTATATTACTTAATACACTTATACGATTTAAAAACCACACAATATAATTATAAGCAAGAGCATCCAAAACAGTTGATGGTTACTGTAATACTAATACTACTAATACTGTAACAGTGTAACAGTAACAATAAGGTCAATACTCATAGGAAATATTTTGGTAATTTTGTTTTAGAGCTGATATCACAGCGATTATATAATACATTAGATTAATTAATGTTGATACAATAATACGTCGCGACAGAAGTTATTTTTATATTTTACCGTTGTCTCGTTATCTTATCTAGATGCCATTCACGGTCAATAACGTCAAACACACACGCACACATAAGAAATAAGATATAATAAAAACGATATTTCGTCAACGAACATTTATTTTCGTTATTTTTTTTGTCTACTTTTTGAAAACGGGACATTTTAGCGTCCCGAAGATTTCCCAGGGGACAACGGGACAGAGATTCAAAAAACGGGACTGTCCCGTTCAAAACGGGACGTATGGTCACCTTATGTATTAGTCAGATATATTTCTATTGTTAATAATCAATAAATAGAGATAAAAAAAATTCTACAAAATATTTTATCTATGGATATATTAGTTTAAGATTATAACTATTATATTTTATAAATTTGGCAATGAAGAAGCCATTGAAGACATTATACCTCAAAACTTAACAGAAATTAAATGTTCCTAATGTTAGTATTATTAGAATTTGAGGTACAGTAAAAGCTTTTAGCAATATATCAAATAAACACGAATTGAATCAAAGATAGAAGTTAAAGATTTAATTTAAAATATATCCTCGTGTAAAGTCAAGTAATAAAATGGGAAGTGAAATGTAAATATAAAAATTGAAAATACTATTTTATCGTTGTACAATTAGTCAAAATATTATAACTCACACTCTCTTACTCATAATGTATTCGTATTCGTACTTTTGTACAAAATTGTATAATATTAACTACTACCCAAATTAGCATTTGACTCCCAATTATATACGTATTCACATAATTAGATTGTATAATAATTATAATAGTGTATTTTATTTCAAATACATCTTAAGTTAAGAACTAAAATTTGTCGAGACTTCTCATTTGTTTAAATACATATGGTATTGCATCCTGTCATCACAATTTATATTTAGTATTAAACTGTAGACCGATCACCTATATAGTAATTTTCTATTATATAGTTATATTTTATTTCTTCCTTATGTGCTCATACACATATTTCAATTATTGCGGAGGGTGATAAAACTAAAATAGTGTATAATGCGCACTTGTACTTATACTCTGAGATATGGCTATAAATTCATGTCATATTTCACATAATAACCTAACCAGCAATGTACTCATACGTAAAATAATTTTATTTTGAACAAATTTGGAGAAAATTAAAGACATAACCTGTCTTGTTATGTACGTGTATAGTTTTGATTTTAAATATACATAAACAGATGTTATTTTCGACTTTGAATTGGTTTTTGGATGTATTTAAAATATCATGAATATAATCATATAGACTCGCGATAAAGAATTATTATTTACCTTAAATAATTAATAATTACGTTGTTGTAATTCAATACCATATTATTTACAACTTTGCAAAATGAGAAACTCAATTGTAATAAAAATATAATCCATTTACGTTACACAAACGAAACAAATATTTACCATGCATACAGTGGGTGTTATTATGTAGCTTTTAAAGAACTTGATATTATTTAATTCATATTTTAGAAATTAGTTTGTTCGTTCGTTTGTCAGCGGGAGTTCGTCAGTCCATATAAATTAGTGCAGAAACAGACGTTTCCCCGGATATCATCAATGAGAGAAAAAAGACATGCACGTGTATGGGAATCATATGACTATATATAATCAGTGACCCCGTTCTTATAGAAGTTGTAATCACTATTAAATAGAATGTGTAGATCAGTGTACTATTATTATTATACGTTAAGTTAACGTATATTTATTTCGTATTTCACATACGTCTATAACAAAGCACATTAAAATTACTATACATATTTTTATAAAAACGGGCATATATAAATATATATGTATATAACCAAATAGCCAAAGTAAAATAATTTATATTTATTTTTAATATATGTAAACCAGCCTTAAACAGAAGTTATTATCATCTATGATTACGTAACTAATTCCATTAATAAATACAATATAATATACACAAATAATACGTATAAGTATCCGCTACACGAGTAACGCGTATCGATTTATTATGATCTACTCGTATATGTGGTTATTACCCAAGTAATGACGTCTAATGAAAGTCAGTTGGACATTTTGCGAACGAACAGGTACTCGGAAAACTGTTGGCCGTGTACACCGCCGCCCGTGCTTGCAGCCACCGTGAAACCCGCGTTCAGCAACCGGGTGATAGCTTGCACACTATTGAGTTTACAGTATCCGTTCAACGGAAACCGGACCAAATGTCTCGAGTCTACGGGGGTCCAGGACACGGCTGGGCGACCGGCCGATGGTTCCAGTGCAGAGTGCCCGGTCTCCGGGAACACTTCGTCCAGAACTGCGTGGTCGCCGGATAACATTACCCGTTCCCCGAGGTCTGGGCTTACGTGAACGGACACGCACTCGTACTGGTCCTTGATGCCGGAAAGGCTGCTTGTGGGTCGGCTCGGGCCGTTTGAGTCCCAACCGTTGGTTCGGTTGTATTTCATTCGATCTCGTTTCAGGTTTTCTAATTGTTTACACATAGCTACAACAAAGAATCATCCGCACTCATAGAAAAATATATGTGTATACTAATAAAACCATAATATGTCAATACTATATTACGGTATAAGTACTTTAAAATGTATCATCTTTTGGTAATAAGTAAATATACGGAATAACAGTTGATGATACGACAAAATATCCCGCGTAAGAATGATAAAAAATTAAATTTTCTAAAAAAAGTTATAAATTATAAATTGCATTATTTGTTGATCGATTGATTGATTTATTGCAATAGTAAACGTAAGAAAATTAAAAATATTTATATTGATAATACGAGCATGTTAACTCAATATTTTAATTTTAATTATTTTATTAACGATCAATATTTTAAAAAAAATTAATAGTTTTATGAGAACATTTTTAATGTTTATTATAAAATGGCTTTGACGTCATCATATATTGATATATTATACGTATGCACGATGAAGTATATTTAGTTGAAAATGTGAACAACAAATCATTGGCAGTTGGTTACGAACTATCAAACAAGTTTTGAGTATTCTGTTTTTTAATTTGAGATATGTAAAATTGAATTTTCGAGAAAGTGGAAGATAAAAACTTTTAAAAAATTATACTTTTTTGGGAAAAAGCGTGAATATCAGTTCGAGATGAACAGCACTATATTTTAAAATTAGAAAAGTTGTATCAAAACTTATGAAAATTACAAAAATCGGCTAAAAAAGAATCAGAAAAACATACTAAAAAGTCAATGAATTAAATGAAAAATTAAATCAATTATTTGATATATCTCATTAAAATACATTAAGTATGAAAGAAATTGAGGAAGATAAAATATTTTTACACAGAGAAAAGGGAATACCAGGATGCATGTTAGTAACTGATAGAAATTTGACAAAAAGAAAAAAAAGAGCCCTGGTTAATAAACAAAAATTCGAAAAACGTCGAAAAATATCGAAAATGAGAATTGAACAATTTGGTAAGTCATGTTGATATATTTATAATGTACAGAACTTAGAATATATATTATAATTATTAATTAATATTAAATAAAATATATTAAATTTGTTGTTATATTTATTTATTTATTTTAAATAAAATATGTTAAATTCAATATAATATTTTATAAATGATTAAAAATATATTTAAATTTCTCTGAATTATATAGCACAAGTAAATAACTATATTAATGAAAAATGAAGAAGATGTTGGTATAAATGAAGAAGACACTACACCAAATCAATTGTGTAGGAAGAAACATAGAAGATTGAGACAATTTATGACTTATAAACTACTAGCTGCATTAGGGAAAGAGAAATTAAAAGTTTGAAAGTTAAAAAATAAGGGCCACCCTTATATATATATATATCTATGGCTTGGTGCCAGAAGGCTCAATATCACATTTTGACATAATTGAGGTCAGTCTTATTGTAGTTAAACACAAAATGAGTCTTAGAATAAAAAAAAAACCAATTGAATTAAGTAAAATCATTTTTTGAGTTCCTGTATACATTTGTGTTTACATTAAAAATTGGTAAATTTAATGTTTTTATTCTTGAAAATTATTATAATATGACATTGGCCTTTCTTGCACCAAGCCACAGATATATAAATATATATATTTATAATCCATAGGTACCTCTATAAGTAGTTAATCATTAAATGTACTTTATTAGTGAACAATACCGATGTATACATATTTATTACTATTGAATTGATTATAACTAATCGTTTTAAATCATCCAAACATGTAGGTACGTAGCGGCAATAGATTGTTGTCACATAAAATTATTTTTATTTCTCAAGAATTTCCACCATCATAAAATCGCCTCCGGAATAAAGACCGAACTCGTGAATCATAATGATCGATTATTATTACATAATATTTTAATTCGGCTAATGATGTCCATGTTTCAAACCCATATTTCACGAATAGAATGAATAATACTAGTGATGGAACAAAAACGGATGTAAAAGAAATAGTATATGACGGTGTCTTAGACCAACAATGAGACAAGTATTACGTTCCCGGGGGCTGTATCAGGACTGCGGCCACACAATATCTTTCGACCAGACTAGAAATTTACGTTTTTAACCTTGTCCACAGACAATGTAGCGTAGGAATTATCGTTATAATAGTAGCTTACTCGAATGCAGACAGTTCGTGTACCCAATTATTTCATTAAGCATAAAAAGTATGGTCCATTACATATCCAACGATATGATGATGACACACTCTTGGGCTATTATTATATTTATATCATAATCCAAAAACAAATTATAAAATACATAATTATTGGCTGCTGGTAATGAAATTACTCATTATAGCCATAACAATATACTTAAAGGTTTCTAACGTTGGTAATTTACTTACGGGTGATTTCGAAGTATTTAGCTTCTTCTAATAACAAGTCGATGTCAGTGAAGTTGTCGGGCAATGAAAGCTTAGAATTTCTCATGAAATTGAGAATATGCCTGAACATCTTGCCATCCCTGTCGATAAAATAGTGTTGTTTGAGAGAATCTAACACTATAGGTATACTACCGTTGAACAATTTCGCCAGTTTTGAATCAGGATTTCTAAAAGTCAATCGATTGTAAGTTAAGCACTAAAATAAATTAGTTAATTTTGTATATTTTAAATACTAAGCTTCTCTAAAGATATTGATATTTCGACACGATATCGATGTCGCAAACTTTTTTACCAATATTTTGGTATCGATATTCTAAATATATCATACGATATATGGATAATAATATCCTTTTCACTTATTTGAGTATATTATATTATAATAATATAATAAATTATATGAAATTTTCAATCAAATTTGTATTTTGGGATCAGATTAAAAATAGCACATGGAAAATAATTAATTTGACAAGTGACATAAGGAAGTAGTTAGAATTTGTACCGAAATCAAGTATCGTTATCGATCGTAATAGTTTTGTTCATAATTTTAATTTTATTCTTTAAATTCCTTCAAATGTTTTAATAATTAATATATTAATTTCGTTGAATTCGCTAAAATGTTTATTATTTTTATATTATTAATATATTAATTAATAATTATTAATAATGGTTAATTATAAACTTGTACTATTATCTGGTGATCGGATTGATATAAAGATATCAATAAATTGGAATTTCAATATTAATAAATCAATATTAAATTTTTTTTCAATATTTCAAATAAATATCATGGAAAATCAAACGACATCGATATTCGATATTCGTTGGATAAGTCTAGCAAATATACGTGCATGCTTAATTATAATAATAAGTATTTTAAAATTTCTATTTCTTTCTTTTACAATCGGTATGAATTTTAACGTAATAAATATTGGAAAAAAGTTTAACTTTTCTTATTTTGGGAAATTTTGTAAACAAATACATATCAAAACATCGAAAAAAGCATTAAAGCATATTATAGTGTTAATATTTAAACCAAATACAAATAATACAACTGTGAATTTATTTTAGCCACACACACACAACACGCGCGCGCGCGCGTGTGTGTGTGTGTGTGTGTGTGTGTGTGAGTGAGTGTGTTGGAGACTTGTTATGCACGACTCTTATGCGAGACAGACTAGTGAAGCGTAGCGCGTTCGTGTAGCGCCAAAGGCGATGAACACGTTGGTGCGCGGCGTGCAATACTGAAAATACCGATCGTTAGTTAAACTAAAAAATAAAAAGGAAATGGAAACCCACTCTTCATCATCGATCGGTATAATTTTTCATATTTACTCCGTGGCCATACGCAAATACGTTCGTACATTAAGAAAGGTTTCATTATGTAATTAATCCAAACATATCCACATGCATATATATTATGACATTTAACTAACTTTGTTAGAGTATCCAGTGAGGACGTATATATGGTGCCGCCAACGTCTATATGAACGGGAGCTGTGTATTTAGATGCGGCTGCCACACATGGTATGCCGGCTATGATTTTGTGGTTGTAACCGGTAGTCGGCACTACCGGTGTTGGTGATGGTGAATTGCTGTTGTGTGAAACGGTAGGCGATGTGGCCGGTGAATTGCTATGAGCAACACAAACAAAATAGTCCAATATTAAAATGAATTCAGAAAATAAAAAATAATTTATGTATAAGAAAGTAACCGGAATACAGATTTTACTAGTAATCAGACATCAAACCAAAAAAAGTAAAAGAACACAATTTTTATAAAATAGGCAAGTAGAGATGCAATTTATAAAAGGATAAATTAATTATTCCAATAATCAACTTATACACTATAATTTTTGTTCATATTTTTGTTGATAAGTCTGTACTAAGTTTTTGATTCAGAAATTCGTATTTACGATCGACAAAAGCAAATTTATGTAATATTTTGAACTGTCATTAAAATAAGTAAAGACAAATAAATAAACTATAATATATTTATTATTTATTCAGTAATATTTAATGATTGTACCGTAAAGGATGATAAAACTTCATCAATGATTTTGTTCATTATTTACAATATTGAAATTTGAATATTGAAAATATGTATTAAAAATAAAATATATGTTTAATTTACAAGAAATTGTCAATGACATAATTATATTTATCCATAAATATTTAACTTTTGTTATTCTAAAAATGTAACTTTTTATTGGATGAGTTCAAAAAATACGTAATATGGTTATTATTTCGTACAAATCACATTATCAAGTAAAATATAATTCTAATAATAATAATAATAATAAAACAATTAGAAAAACCAGTTAAAAAAATGTCTAAACTCTCTCTAATCGTATTTTAAATCATCTAAATAGTCACCAATATGGATTTTTTAGTTTATTCTAATGTTCAAAAGTAGTTTTGTACTATTTATCGTTGCTACATAGGTGGTCAATATATGTAAATGTATTGGTCATTGAACATTAAGATGCCACCATAGATTCAACTAAAGATCTCAACATCGTTTCAAAATTGATGAAAAATATACATTGCGTATCAAATAATTTATTTAAAACGTTATACGATGTTCATTACTATAGTTATGCTTATGAAATATCATACCTGATTTTGATCTGTGTACTTGTGTATAGAGATCTAGATGCAGTAAGATCTTTAGGTTCCATTCCGTCCACATCTCGAACCACTTCACACTTTCGTCTGCAATTAAAAAATAAAAACGATATAATTACAAAGATTAAACATTGAAATATATACATATTTTTTGTCATTATATAGTACGGCATACGTAATTATTCAATTAAAAAGCAATTAATTTTCAACCTATAACGTAGAGTAATTTTTAATTTTGTTTTTGGTGAACATAAATACAATATTTTACATAATGCATATATGATGAAAACTATTAATAAGTAGTATAAACGATTAAATTTTAATCAAGCAAAATTAATTATTTTGAGGGTATTATTCTGGTAAATTGATTACAATTTATTATAAACGGATATTACGTTGAAATATTCACCAATTGGTTTAAAATTCAGTTGGATCATTGTTGTTCATTATTCGTATTTTGGTGTTAATTTTATCGGTACGGAGTGAACCAACTAACCAACTGTAGCCTATCATAAAATATACTTAGTTGTGGGTTGACAACCATGTGGGCGTCGTCATTCTGAAGATGGTTCTGGTCTGTACACAAAAAAATACCTTGCACAATGCCATGGAAAAGGTTAAAATTATGGAATACAATATAACATATAAACTATATTGCAGCATACAAACACATATATCATATTGTAAATGGAACTTTTATAAACGGACCACGCCTAAGGTGTAACTGAAAGAGTTAATCCAATTGTCCGTGTTACATGAAATAATAATAATGTAATTTAGGCGAGAGGGTAACGTATATTGTATGTACAGTGTCTTATAGATTAAAATCTTGCTCAGGCGTCGTAGATTAGTTTGGCGGGAGCATTGATCTGCATAATTTTTCCAAACCCAAATTTTTGTTAACATACAGTGACACCGGATGGAATGCATGTAAACTGAGATTTATGACTATGTGTTGACATTATCAAATAAACACTTAAGGGATATACAATGAACAATTTTCAGAGATCGAAGATAAAATAGTGCTACGCTTTCCTTTTTGTTCATTTGCCATGTATCACGTTTACATAAAATCATACAAATATATATTGTGTGTGTTTGTCGTTTTAAAGAAAGTATACACACGTAAAGTATGTAAATATGTTTTTTTTTTTTTTTTTTATTGTCATTGGTCAATATTTTTGGTAAAGTATTCCAAATGTCGCCAAACCAGTATAATATTCATTACAAAAGAAACCATTATGTGAAAACATTTAAGAGAGAAAATGCGACATCTTGATATTCCAGAATAGAGTAAAAATAAAGCACCTGTCTATGGTCTGTGAAAGCGTCATAATAAAGGTCAATGATATTTGTTTCGCTTCTTCACATTATCCGGACCTACCTGTTAATGATGATACCAGTTGTGCCGGACGGAAGGCACGTGACATTAAATATAATAAAAAATAAATAACATGCAACCATGCCAAAACCTACTTTTTTCTTTCCATTTTACACTGAATAGATGGAGAGATAAACACGTAAACCAGTGCTATTAGTAAAGTGGTTCTATTTACAAAATTACTAAAATAACACGAGAAAAATGTCAAATGAAGATGCATTATAAAGGATGAACTTATAAATTCAAATAATCAAGAAACAAATATTTTTCAAAATAAATGAGTTTAATTATTCTAAAAAAAAAAATTTGAAATATTACTCTGACTCTGTATCGGTAAGACTTGATTTTGATAAAATATTATTTCATAATTTGCTGTATTATATATACTAGTACATAATTCATAAAAATAATTTATGCTGCAAAAATTAAGCAAAACATATATTGATTATAACAATTATAACATAATTTTGAATCTAGGATTTAGTATAAATTAAAAAATTTATTATTTTTATTTTCAATAATATAATACGCATGAATAATAAATCTAAAAAATACATATAATAAAACAAAATATTAAATAATTAAAAATTAATTTATATCAGATATGTAAATAGTTCATTTTTATACATTGTGCAGTATTAATGAAGTTTATTACGTAGTAATATTATATTATTATAAAATTACAAAAAAACAATCATCAATAAATTTATTTATTTTTAAATATTCATTAAATCACATGTGAAATAATTTTAATATAATTTAAAATAATAATTTATTCACTATAAATAAAAACTTTGCAATGCATATTTTATTCCTGTGACTGTCATTTACCAAATAAATTGCATGTATAAAGATTTTCCAAATTAGTTATTTACATAAGAAATCATTTTAATAATATTCGAGTTTTTTTCGATAATTTCAAATTTTCTCTTTCCCAAGGCACAGAGACAAACAAATGTTGGGTTAATTAACTAATAATTTATTCGATATAATTAAAGAACAGAAAAATTAAGCACTCTCGGCCCTTCTACCAAGTTCCACAATAAAAGAGGCATTACGTTATGGTTTAATACTTTACCCATAAAATCATTACTGTACGTCAGTTAAAATAAATTTATTTTATTTTAGACCTTCATAAAGTGTATACAGACTACAGATATATACGAATTATTCACTTTATCATAAAGTATGATACTAGCTGTACTATTTCAATTATATTTGTAAATATATATAGATTTAATGTCAAATATACTTTAAAAACAAATACTATTTTCGGTAATAATGGAAATTCATAAAATGTTTCATATTTTAATTTAGCTTTTCTACCAAATCCAGTAATTAAATATATATGTTAAAAATATTTTAACATTTTTGTACAATACATCGTAATATTATGAACGAAGGAATGATTTGACTTATACATTTAAAAATAACCCGAGCATTATCATTGAGTAAGATTTGGTGTGACTTGGTGATTACTATACTTGGGGCTTATTTAGGTATGGGCTATGAGTCCTATTGCCCAAAGCGACAAATTTTTATTTCGTAGGTTTAAAATTAAACTAATCGTGACCACAAAATTATAAAATAAAATATATAATCTTCTTATGTGTATATATATATAACCATATGAATATATGATAATGCACAAAAAAAAGTACATATTTTTCCTTGAATCGAAACGTAAAATATAATAATATTTTACATAAAGTAAATCGTAAATGCATTAATTATTAACATTTCTGTTTATTATTGAATAAAGATTATTTTTTATGCATAGCAAAGTTCATGAAATTTGTGGAATTTCATCTTACTTAAAGTTGTTTTTTGGTTCCATTAAATTACTTTAATTATTAGCCCTTGCTGACAAGTGTTTTTATGTCATTGTGTAAAATTTTGATAATCTTTGTATAATACATATACAACATTAATGATTAGGGTTCGGGACTTGTTGCATTTGCAAATTGTTTAATAATGATTGCATAATGGTCTAAGTAAGATATAAATTTGTTTTAAGTCATAACAGACTGAAATACAAATATTTTAGTTGTATATTTTCACATATTTCACTGTTTTTGAGCAAAACGCATATTTGAAAAATTTTGGTTATTTAATTCTTATTTATAGCATATTAACGCAATTTTTGTTTGATGTTAAGTAAATTTATTTTAAAGGTTAACATTATTTTTATTTACCTTTATGCATCGGTCAATATTCGTAATCATAGAACGAGTCGAGAGAGAGCGACAAGGAAAATTAACCTAATTGTTCCTGCGTATACTAACGGTTGTCGTAAATCGTTTAGAGAATGTAAAATGAAAATAAGTATTGGGTTAGTTTTTATATTATAGGAGAAGATGAAAAAAATGAAATCGAATATACATAGTAATAAAATGTAAATAGTGTTATTGTTGTCAAAAAATACTAATTATAAAAAATGAATAAATAAAAATTTTTAACTGTCATTAAAAAAATATTCAGTTACATATTTTTGCCCATATTTAGGTTATTTTAACTGCATATATGTATGCACATTTCTTAAAATGTTTGTACAATAAGTTACGAACCCTAATAATGAACAACGACTTTCGATATCAACTCATAACTAAAATATTCACGAGGATATAGTATTCATAAGGTTGCAAGTAACCTTTGAAATTCAAGAGATTGGGATGATCCAAATTACTTTTGTGAAAGGTTTTTAGAAGCCTGTAACAATTTCGATCGTAATATCTTAAAAAGATAATATTCATCACAAAAAAATTTAAATAAAATATAAATAATGTTTTACTTAACATTATTTTCTATGACATAATGATAATTAATTATATAGTAAAATACCTAATAATCGTTTTTAGCGAAAAAATATACAAATTTAAAAGTATTACTAAGCCCCTCCCCCATTTACATACTAGAAAATATCACATTGAACGTTTAATGTAATCCGTAGTACTCTGTTCACTTAGCGAGTTCTGTTTACAAGTGGTTGTTAGGCTGTTTCGAAACGAAAATGTTATATATATTTATTTAACTTACTGTATACTATAATACTACAAAAACTTATGTAGTACATAATATATTAGTGACTAGAATATCACGTCCCCCGCCCTAACACAATCGGTTTGATAAAATTATAATAATAATGTATAAACAGTATGAAACTGTGAACTGCAAGGTGCGGCGAGCGAGCGCGTTTTTGGTGTGAGTGTGTGTGTGACTTATGTCCAACGATATTGGGCGCGCGGCGATGACGACGATGACTACGACAACGAGAGGGCTCGTGGGAACGATCTCGCCGGGGTGGTGTATAATATTATAATGATAATAATAATACGAAAAACACGTGGGAAACGAATATACGCGGGCCGTGATCACTCCGGGCGTACGGCACGAGTACCACCGCAATACCGCATCTCATATTATACATATACATGTACACATTATATGCACCTCTCTATATAGAAGAGCAGCCGTACACATGAGATATATATATATACATACATACTCAAGATAGATTTTAAACACGTCTAAACACACACACACTTATATGGTATAGACACGGCTGCAAACACACACGCACGCACGTACACTCACACACGTGCGGGTCCGGTCATCCCTGCCCGGGGGGAAATGATCCTTGGCGATGGAGGCGCGTAGAACATGCGAATGCGAGACGGGAGTGGGGGGGGGGGGGGGGTCGGAGCGCGCGCGACTGGCCCGCGGCACCAGCACGATTGTCGCCTCGGGTTGCATACGACCTCATGTCACGGCACATCAAACGTGTACAAAAACATAAAATAAAAACCGTACACCTCTAGGCGGTATTCCGAGGGAAAAAATATAAAAATAATAAACATGTGCACGTAATGATTTTCGCCTCCAGTATACGTATACGACCGCGCGCGCATATTAACACACACACACACACACACACACACACACATACACACATTCACAAGCTGATGGGTGCGCGCGAGACTGTTCGATTGGTTTAATTTTTTTACGACTTTATTTATTTATTTTTTCCAACAACGACGATCGAAATCCTTTTGACAATATGTACTAATCCTATACGTTACGTGAACCATATATGTATAAACATGTCCTGTACTTAAAATATACACAAGTCGTACATTTTCTGAAAATAATTTATTATATTTTATGCTTATACTATATACTATTTATCTTATACTTTATACGCTGTTCATGTGGGTGGATTCCATAACACGGCGCTTTCGATGAATCATACAAAAAAAAAAAAATAATAACACACAAAACAATACAACAAGAATATAGATTTATACAAGAGCAGACTCGTGTACTTATTATATATATATATTTATTTATTTATTATGTCACTTAAAATTTGTTGAAAATACTTTTCCTTGTTCCAAAGACATTACTTTGATAATTTAATATTAGTCATTTTTCAAAAGAACTACCACGTTAAATGGCGCCAAAAATTATTTTTTAAATAAAACCATTTTCGACAAATATATAATTTAAGTTTCAATACGTAACAAGGCATGAGGTAAGCATAAATATATAAGCAATCAATAAATTCTAAAAATATTCTTCATTTTACTCTAAAAACGTTAAAATTGTACATGACAAGTGTATTTCATGTATCTTTATATTTATAAATTTTCTATGCAAAGCAATTACTAGGGTCTCAGTACATAATCAACCATATATTTTGTGAAAAATAATGACACTGATAATAGTAAGTCACATATATTCGTATTCTATTAAGAAATTCAAAAAATGAGCGGTAAAATTAATTTGATAAACCAATATTTGTTTACAAAGTTTGAAATATGCATACAGTTTCACGGGCAGAAAATAATTCGATAGTTAGTTTTTGGTGTAAGTTTATGTTTATTAAATTAGGTGTAAGGTAGTTTTAGGTGTAGGTTATGTTAGTTTCGTAGGATTTGATTTTGTTTAATCTAATGGATCGAGGTCTTTAATTATTGAACTGATTACCAAGTAAGAAATATGTACCCAAGTACGATGAAACTACTTTTTTTTATTAAATTATACAGTTCCTAGCATTCGCTATTTACATTAGGGATATAAATATATATATTTTTTATAATATATTAAATATTTACAGTATATAAATACAACAGTTTTAATTCCTCCCACTTTTTGTTGCTGTTTTTCGTGTAATGGTTCTATTTCAAATCATGTCGTGAGGGCTACCTTCTTTAGTCTACGCAGAAGTGGTGGTCTAATATGTATAAATAGTTTTATAGTTTTATTAAATATATGATTTTAGAATAAATTAATTCTTGAATGAGATAGGTTTGCCAGAGATTATGTTTTTTTTTTTTTACTTGTAAATTGGTATAGTTTTAATACATGATGAATTTCGTAATTAATAAACAAATTTTTCCCAAATTATATTTTCGGTCAACTTATTAGAACTTGTGATACGCAGAAAATGAGTGATTTACTATACCTACTAAATATACCTAATAATACAATTATTTAAACTATACATGAATTTATAAATTAAAATATTTCTGAATTTTAAAATTATTTTGAAATTCAATACACATAACAAATACCTTTTAATTATCGGTCCGGACTCCAGGATGACGTCTTTTGTACACAATTAAACAAAAAAATATTAAATTATATCTAATAGAGTTAACTAATCAGATCGTGAATTATCTGCATAGACACATGATCATTGAAAACTTTCGAAAGCCTGATCGGAGATACTATTTTTAATGATTCGTTCACAAAGATCGTACGTATGGTGGTTATCCCGAGCACTGAACACGCACATATTACAGAAGACCGCCACAGCTAAAAAAACCGCGCCGTCTGGTGTTTCAGTGTAGCCATAATACAAATAATATTACAATCAAATATATATCATTTATAAAATGGTTAAATGGCTATTATTGGGTTATTATTTATTGTTGTAGTTGGGGTCTGCAATTGAGTAAAGGGAATTGTATTACCCGATTTACCACCAATGTTAAAGGATAATCTAAATCTTAGTATTTTATTTCCAACGAAATTTAGGTTTTATGTAGTCGAAAAAATATGTTTTTTTTTGGACATTGACTTATCCGCTATGATTATTTCTATCTATTATTTGTAATTTAACAAATTTGCTTCATCTGAAGAAAAGATAATTAAATGTAACTGATCCATTACATTTTGATTAATAGACTTTGTAAACTATGGTTAATATTAATTTGAACTCTTGTTTTTTTTTTTTAATAAATAAAATAATTTATAAAAATTCGTAAATTCAAAAAATTAGAATCCGTTTCAATGTAATATCATTAAATCAAATTTTACTTATAAATTTCACTACAGGACGATATAATACGGTAGTTTTTCTTTCGTCTCTAAGGTGTTATGGATCCACCATCTAGAGCCGTCCTAAATGTACGGCCCCACTGAACGCGATTTGCAATGCAAGCGATTATGCGAGCGATATTGTCCCGCGTTTCTATTGTTTTGTGGTCAATAATTTTAGTCGCCAATAAGACTTCTTTCAATTCAAACCGCTTGCGTAAAATACTTTTATCTGAAAGTTCTGCTTCAATAGAAGAAAAAGTTGAAATGTTTAAAGAATGTTTATGGGTTCATGAGTTAAATAAAAATAGAGAAACAGAAGGTGAATATCATACTCTTTTTCTAAACTAAAAAAAACACCCTGAAAAACTTTTTGAGTATTGCCGTATGGACGAAGAAACTTTTAACTTAGTACTTGATGCAATAGAATATAGTATATTTAATATACTATACAGAAATCGGAAACAAATTTTCGAAAGCCTTTTATATAATCATTTCTTTACTTAAATTAGACCAATACTATTGAATAATAGTCTTATTTTTATGTCCAGCATGACGATAGTTCCAAATCGGTTCTTTTAAAAAAAAACTGCTGTAGCTAATTTTTCTGGATCAACCGACATCGTGGGCTTTTCAAAAGTGATTAATCACAAGAAAACAAACTATTTTGATTTATTTGCGTGATTTATCGTAAAACGCAAAACGTGAAACGCAAAATCGCGTTCAGTGAGGCCTTAGGTTAAGTACCTTAAGGATACTTAGTATTTGAAGCAAATTGATTCGGGGGTCCTTCAGTCATCACAATAATATACAAGTATGATAAAAAAATACACACCAAGTTTGCAAAATGTTGATAAATATAGTTTTCCAAACCTCAAAGAATCAATGTCATTTAAATGCATCAATACGAATTTTCAATTACTTTCCAATAATATATTGCCAGTTACCACATTTAATTAAAATTATATGTATTCCTAGATAATTTATAAGCACTTATAGAAAATAAGAACTTGGATGTTTTCGCGTCGATACTTGCGATAACGAATTTCTACTTCCATTTGGATAAAATGATATATCATTCTTCATACTCCGGCAATAACCATAATAAATTACAATTATATTTATTTAGAAATTAAAATATCTAAAAACGTAGTCTGTATAATAATGTTTAAATATAAATTTAAGTTAATTTTATTTATTTAAATTGATTAATATTTCATAAAGAAAAATAGTTAAGAAATAATATATAATTATAAATAATATCTAATAGGTAACGCTAAGTATTTCTAATCAATTTGGACTTTAAGGAGGCCCTTTTTAAATTTTCCTTGACTGGGGCCTGGGGCAAAATGGTCCCATTGTCTCCTCGAAACTGGCGACGGTTAAGCTACCACCTATCCTGTATCCAGGTTAATTTACGATTTAGATTTTAGATAGTAAATTCTGTTGACCATCGCCTTCTATGTTATCGCGCATGGATCCAACAATTATCTGATTATACCAAATATTGGTGTAAAACATTCAATCAATTTATCCGTTCGAGGAGAGTCCATAGCGATTAGTGGGAGTCTGAGATGATATACCATTACTATATTCAGTGCTGGCTCAACGGTTTTTGGGACCCGGTGCAGAATTTGCGGGGCCCCATATATATATATATATATTAATTTACTGATTGTTTATAGAAATCTATGTTCGTGTTATCATATAACTAGAATCCGGATTTATATGTGTTACAGGCAAAAGTCGAAATCGGGCAAACCTCAGAAATGCCCAAGCAAAACGCGAACTGCCCACAATCCTTTGGCAAAATGTCATATTTCGGCTTTTGACCGGGCAAACCTAGTTATGACCAACCTCATTTGGGCAAAACCGCCAAAATCGTATAGGTACTGACTTTTATCGTAAAGGCAAAACCGTAGAGTCTTAAATATGTTTGCTTACATTAAATACGATTTTATTACGATTATAGATGATCACGCGTATCTTGTTAATTTATCACTGATATTGTATTTTATCAACTCGTTATATTAAAGGTATACAAAATACACCTTATCTAAATGGTACAATATTGTACTGATACTATATGAACTAGTATTTTTGTGAGCTTATATTAGTTCGTCTTTAGCAATGGTTAACGAAACGTGTGTGTCTGATTTTAAAACTAAATTTGAATTAAAACTTAATGAAATTACAAAAAGTGAATATAGTGCTCTAATAAAATACGATGAACTCATAAAAGAGGTAGAATAAGCAAAAGTCAATTCAAAGAAAATAACGAGCGAATACAGAAGACTAAATAAATTTGACGTACTCACAATCGGTGAGTCTAAAAAATTAATAGTTCCACCAAGTAAAACCAATGGTGACATTATTTATTTTGTAAAATGCAATGAAATGTTTGACATATTGCACATGGCTCATATAAATTGTGGTCATGGTGGTCGAAACCGAATAGAGCATTCAATAAAACAAAAATATAAATATATTACCAGGGATATAATATTATTATATTTAGATACAGTAATATGAAATATGTAATAAAAAACACGCTCATCCCAAAAAAGGTTTAGTAATAAAATCAATTATATCTAAAACTTTTAATTCTCGTGCACAAGTTGATCTGATAGATATGCAAAGTAATAAAGATGATGATTTTAAATTTATTTTGGTTTACCAAGACCATTTTACTAAATTTGTTTCTTTAAGATCTTTAAAAACAAAAACGGCAAGCGAAGTTACATACAATCTTATCAATATTTTTGTATATTTGGAGCTCCATGCATACTACAATCAGACAATGGTAGAGAGTTTGTTAATCATATTATAAATGATTAAGTTCTAATGTGGGATGGTTTAAAAATAGTACACGGGAAGCCACGTCAATCGCAAAGTCAGGGGAGTGTTGAGCGAGCTAACAAGGACATCGAAAAAAATCATTTATGCTTGGATGGAAGAAAATCAATCTAGGAAATGGAGTGAAGGATTGAGATTTTGTCAATTTTCCAAAAATAGTGCTTATCATGCTGGCATGCCTAACCTGGCAGTGCTAACCTGGCATCAAACAACCTCCATATGAAGCTATGTTTGGAAAAAAAGTTAGTCATGGATTAAAAATCGCCTACTAATAGATCAGTGAAGAACATTGCCTACAAAGAAGTTTTGTAGATAACATATTGAAAAACTATTAGTAAAACATTTATTTTGAACCTTTAGTGCTAAAATTTATCGTGAACAAAGCTTCTGCTGCCAAAATCTATAACTTATCGAATAGGTTATGATAATAATCATTATCTTAAAAACTAAATTAATATGTATAAAATATTATTTCAAAAATCTTAATTAATTTAAATTTCAATAGATTTAATAAAATTTAATCTTGGCAGGTTACATACATTTATATACTTAAACCCGGCAATGAAGGGTAATTCAGCTAGTAATTATATATTTTTATTGTGATTTAATAAATTAATTTAGGTAAGTGATAAATTTGTTCCAAGAGGTATCCAATGAAATTAATTATATTTTATTTTACATATTTTTACATATTTTGCCATAAGTAAAATTTTTTAAATATTTCTCAATAATTCCATTTTTAAAATGATTTTAGTTCAAAGTTTAGTTTAGGACTCGTAGAAGAAGCTATAAAATGCGTAGAATAAGTTCACAAGTAAAATGCACAGTGTATTAAACAAAAATTCTGGTTTAAACTGTCTAAAATTAATTAGAGATATACATTGCGGAATGAATGGGGTAATATTACAGAATGAGCTCACTCCTTTGAGCAGTGGAAAAATGAAATTTGCACCCATTACCTCTGTTGAAGTCGAGCACTCCTTTATTCGGTACAAATCTGTACTACTATGTATATAAAATTTGAATATAATCGGATAATTTTAACCCGTGCCCCAAATCCCTTAAAGTTACTATCATAATAAACTATAGACATGTCTGTAAATATAAAAATACCCCATCGATACAGTTCATATTATAATCGCACATAGTCCGTTTTTATCTTAATGCTTTTTGATATCTAACGTGATTATGTGAATCATAATTGTGACGACCGTGAATGTTCGTATTTATCATTAGTTATTGCAAAGTCACTGGTGTTGTTACTGTAAAGTACATTTGTAAAATAGATGTTATAATGTCACTAGTATACGAACTTCGCGATCAAACGAAAATATATTTAATCGGAGACGATGCAAATTAAATTATAGGCAGTAAGTTACCATCCAATATGCAAGTGTTAAAGGTTTTATTTTATAATCTTAGAAAAGTGAAGCTTAATGTGAGACAGAGTTGCTCTTTAGTTTTAAAAAAAAACAATTATATTTTGGGAAAAAACGCGAATACCAACTAGAAATTTTCAATGTTGTATTGAAAAATTAGAAAAAATGTATAATGAATGGAGAAATTTACAGAAACATGCAACAAGAAGAAATGAAAATC